GTTCGGTCGTCTGACCGACCCAGTATTCGCACGCATTCGAAGTCGAAGCTGTCACCTGTACGACAAAACCTTGTAGCATTTTTTAGCAGATGTAATAAAATTAAAGAAGAGCAACCTCTCACTGTACGGAACCCGTCCAACCTAGATTTGCCCTGGACCTGTAGAACGGCGCCATCTTCTAGGAGGAAATGCACATCAAGGGAAACCCCCAAGACGTCCTAAGGGCATCTGACCGCTGAAAAGCGTTCAATTGCGATTCGACCTATGCCCAAGCACACATTTCATGTTAAGTGAATTGTACGGCAATTGATTATTTATTTTTTTGGTATAATCACGTGTTCCCCCTCTTCTGGACTTATTTTCGGCACAATTTGGAGTATTCTTTTGCATTCACAATTATTCGCGGAGTTCTTTTCAAAGAAGAGTACATTTTTCGAGCTGGTGCGACTTATTCTAACAGTCAAATGTAATGCTCCTCGCTATGTGGCCTGTGATGCACTCAGACTTTGGACGTGAAACATCAATTTTGGTAGCCGGCAAGACGACACTAAATTAAACAAAAGCGAGAAACTAAGGAAAAATGACATATTTCAATTATAAAACAATATAAAATGGCAATATGTAGAAAGCGAAATGCAAAGACTGCAAAGTTTTGCACAGATACAGGGAAAATCATTCACAGAAGGCAGTCAGCGAAAGTTACTAGTCAGAATAGGAGTTTTTATGTATGTCTTTGGGAGCCGACTCTGGTCACTCCCGTGAAACCGGTATTTCTGGCATCCGTGACTTCGTAATTAGCGCGGGACTCCTTATGCGCGTCTTCGTAAAATGCTTAATGTAACTGTAAAATGTCAACCTTGATCCTACCACTAACCCTTAAGCCTAACCTGTACCTTGAAGTCTTAATCCTAATAATAACCCTTAAACCTAACCCCAGGCCTAACCTTAACGGTGACTCTAATAATGAAAACTAACTTTAACTGTCAAACCTAATCTTAAGCACTACTATTAGAGTTAGAATAACGATAACAAATACTGTATGAGTAGGCTAATTTCGAATCTTTGAAAATGTTTAAAAAAACTCACGTAAAGGAAGAATAAGAACTTGTGCTAGAGGCCAAGTGTCATTATCGACAAAGACAAGGCAGACTTTCATGGCAATTTCTAGCTTGTTAGCAGATATGATCCATTCATACCCAACCTCAGGTCATAAGGTTTGTCTCCGTGAATTTTCTTCAGGGATGCATACAACATGCTAAGAGTTTTAATTGCTGAATTCTGATAGGTCCCTCTAATGAGAAGAAGAGACCAGGAGGGACCATAACGTTTTGCTCATACAACTAAACGAAAGAGGGAAAGTGAAAAACGTTTTACTCATCCTTTCTGCAGGTTCGCCCTACAGAGACGCCATTTCGGAATCCATACTAAAACTACAGAAATCCCAACAGCTGGACATGTTGAAACGCCGCTGGTGGATGGAGTACAACATCTCAGAGCCCTGCACAAATTTGAAGGATGCCAGCAAGGAGGCCAGTCCGTTGGATATTGAACAAGTCGGCGGTGTCTTTGTCCTCCTCCTAATTGGCTTCTTCTGGGCATTCATCGTCTCCATAATTGAATTCTGTGTGCACAATAAGGCCTGCACGAAAAGCCAG